ACTCACTGTCAGGTACTGGGGTGTAGTCCTGCCAGGCAGACCCCCAGCCCTAGCTTTTGTGTGAGCTGGTATGTGGTGGTCAGCATTGTTCCGTGCTAACAAGCCCATCTCAAAACTCCCATGTGGGCTGGTGTGTTGGTCTGACCCATAAAGGTCTTCTGGTCTCTCCCCTTCAACCACCAGGTCTCAGTCCTCTTGCTTACCTGCAAGTACAGTGGACTTGTCGTTGGGAGTCTTTCTGAAGTCATTCCTCACCTACACATGCGGTGGCCTTTTCCAAGGATGTCCCTCAGCAGTAATTCCTCTTCTGGGCATGAATCCACAGGTCATCGCTCACCCTCACCTGTGCGATCCCCCAATCTCCCTGCAAAATCCACAACCCCAAGTACCCAGAGTACACCTGCAGGTGGCCCTGAGGCTGGGGGCCCCGCCTGAGTGGCCTCTGACCTGGGTTGAGGGAGATGCCCCCTATCCCCACCCTTCCATGACACGATTTAAAACTTCTATCACTTTTGTGTTGTCATTCATTTTTAAAAGTTTTCTTTTTTTTTTTTTTAATTGGGAAGGCAGATTTACAGAGAGAAGGAGAGAGAAAGATCTTTGATCTTTGATCTCTTTCCCAAATGGCCTCAATAGCCAGAGCTGAGCTGATCTTAAGCTAGGAGCTTCTTCTGGGTTTCACACGTGGGTTCAGGGTCCCAAGGACTTGGGCCATTCTTCTCTGCTTAACTAGGCCAACAAGCAGGGAGCTAAATGGGAAGTGGAGCAACTAGGACATGAACCAGCCATTGCAGGTGGAGGGCCAGTTGAGCAATCACACTGCCCCCCTGAAATTCCTTCTTGTTCGGTAACATTGAGTAAGACTCCGTGGAAATAGTGTCTCCAGTTTTTTCCCTAAATCTCACTTTTAATCATCTGTACATTTCTCTTGATGTGAGTGTCTCTGTGTGCGCATGCCCATGTGCCTGGCACATACAAGATGAGGACTTTAGCCACCAAACTACCTTGCCAGGCCCCTAAGTGGGCTTTCATTCCTCCAACAGTGTCTGGGCATTTCAAAGGAAATACCTATCTTGGAAGATGTTTTTCTGGGGTGAGTCACTAAGTCAGGATCCCTTTCCTCCGAATGAGAACACTAACATGGGGTCAGATATGCAGCAGTCAGACACTGGGAAACATTCCTAGTTCAGTTCTCTGGCCCATCTGTTGTCCTCTGTATAATCCAGCAGACATTTCCAATTTATCAATAATAAGGAGACAGTGTTATTCAGTAGAGAAAGACCAGGACGTGAATTTGCTAAGAAACAGCATCAAATATTCTTGATCAGTTACATCTAGATGTTCTGAATTTTAATTGAGTCCTTTCCTCTCCTTTTCCATTGTCCTTCTTTTCTTGTTTCTTTTATTTTTAATATTGTTTACATGGCTGAGAGGGATGCATGGCCATGAGTCCTCTGATTAGGTGGGAAGATCAAATTTAGAGGAAAGTAGGTGAGACACATGTTATAGTCTATTTTTTTTTCCTCCTATGTCTGCAGGGGAAGAGAAAGGGGGCTACTCCTTACTGTCAAACTACATCAGCACCCAAAAATGGGGGAAAGTCCTTTGAGGACACCCTGGAGACTCTGATGTGGGGAAGAGTGTTCTGAGAGAGTGACTTGAGTGGTTTCAATAGGCCTGAAATGCTGTTGGTTTTATTGCTCCAGAGTTGAGAAAATCTTTCCAAGGTGTATTGGTTGACAAAATCCACCTTAGTGCATCTGCATACCTAGGAACATGCTACAAAGGTTGGCCAGGAGAATTATCCAACTTGTTCTGTTTTCTATTCTCCAACAAGGCAGTTAAAGTACCCTGCTGGCCTAAATGAGCTGGCCATCATGTCCAGCATGTGCATCTGGGCATGCTGTTCATTGCCCAGGCATCAGCAACTGAGGAGGCCCAGTCCTGATACATGCACTCCAAAGTTGGACCACACATCTTGTGATTTTCCCTGTGGCCAGTGTCTGAGTCCAGCAGTCCAGTCAGGGAGTCCCCCAAGAAATGGGGTGACCTCAGCCTTGACTCCTACACACACCAACCAGTGCAGGGTCAGGTTGTCTGTTGGCACCTGCCAACACACGTACCGCTGGATGCATCTTGAACAGTTCTGCCTCAGCCAAACATCTGACGTGAGTCCATGGATGCTGTGGCCCAGCCCAGCCATCCACCGCAGAGTTGGTTCTCATGCCTATCAGAGGGTGCTGTGATCCAGCTGGGTAGATCCCAGTAACTCCCACAAGGTCTGCCCTCAGCCCGGTTTTTGTGCATATCAGTGTTTGCTGTGGCTAATCTGACCCAACCCACATCCCACTTGGGTCGCATGCATGCCCATGAATGCTGTGACTTAGCTCAGCTTGAACCACCCCCAGACCCAGCCCTTATGTATGCTGATAGGTGCTTCAGCCTTGTTCAGCATGGCCTGCCCCCAGCCCTGGTTCTTGTGCTCACCAGTAATAGGTACAGCCTAGCAGGGACAGGCCCACAGTTGCCCTACCATGCTTTTCCCCCAGCCCTGGATCTTGCACCTGCCAGGGGGTACTGTGGTCCAACCTGACATGACTTGTACCCAGTCCCAGCACTTCCCAGCTGGCACTTCCTAGTTCGTCTGGCCTGTAGTATTCTAGCTCTCATGCATGCCTGTGGATACAGCAGCCTACCCCAGACCTACCTCCCTCCGGAATAGCTTGTCACTTGTCCCAGCTCTCATGCTCACTGGTGCTGGTAGCAGCCCAGTAATCCCTAAAGTTCCCCTATCAGGCCCACTTCCAGCCCCAAGTCATACATGTGCTAGCAGGTGCTGTGGCCTTGTTTGAGATGGCCCACCTTCATTCTCAGCATTCGTCATCAGGTGCTACAGCTTGGCTCAGCCTAGCCCACCTTCAGTCCCAGCTCTTGCTGGCAAGTGAAACAGCCTAGCACAGCCTGGCTCACTCCCAACCCTCATGTGAACTGGTGAATGCTGCAGCCTAGCCTGGCCTGTCCCACACCTATCCTGGCTCTCACAAGCACCAGAGGGTGTTGGAGCCCAGCTCAGTTTGGCCTGCCCCCAGATGCAGCCAATAAGCATGCCAATAGATACTGCAGCCTTGCCCAGCCTGTCCACCCGAAGCCCCAGTTCTCACATGTATCAGCAGGAGGTGCAGCCCAGCAGAGGAATCCCCAGAGTTCCTAGCTCTGGGTCTTGCACATACTGGCAGGTGCTTTGACCTATCCCGGCATAGCCCACAGTTTGTTGTGGCCCATACTCTGTCCTGGCTCTCATGCATGCCAGGAGTGTGGCCTGGACCAGCCTGGTCTATCCCAAGATCAGCCCACACAAATACTGATGAGTGCTGCAGCCTGGTCTGGCCTGGCCTACCACCAGCTCAGGCTCCTATGCTCCCCAGAGTGAACTGCAGAATAGGAGAGAAGTTCCCCAAGTTCCCTTACCGGGCCTACTCCTAGTCTCAGTGAGATCTCACATGTGCCAGAAGGGTCAGCGGCCCTGCTTGGCACAGTCTGCCCTCAGCCCTGACTCTTGCATGCTTGGTGCGTTGGAATTGTTAGACTCGGGGAGAGTCCAACCCCGTGGAGGGGAGCCACACCGTCATTGGCAAAACAAGTCAAACGCAGAGGCTGCAATAAGCATGAGGATTTTATTGAGCATTCGCGAATGGGCAACAGAGTCTCTGGAGGCACCCAGGACTCTGCGCACCTCACAAACATTTTGGAACAGTTTTTATAGGGCAAAATCATAAACTGCATAACAGTCAGCATTTCTCACTTTCAGACTAGATAGCCCGGGGTTCCCTTAACTTTGTATATTTTCTCAATTGTTGACAGTCTATATTCCTCGTCTTAGGGCTAGGTGACCCGGTACTTTCTCACTTTCTTATCCATTACATTCTTGCGTTGGCCTTGCTTCTTTATCTTCTTTATTCCTGTAATTGTCTGACTCATTTCTGGGAAACTAAAACTTTACTTGTTTCATGAAATGACTTTTCTATACTTATTCTAACATGACCCTACTCTTGCTCAGCAGAAAGCAATATACAGAAGCAGAATCAAGTGGTTATTCTAAACTCTTACAGAATCACAAAGGCAAGTGCTGATGGGTGGGAGGCTGGGTGGGGCTTCTCCCTTTGTTTGTCCCTGACCCCCGATACAGGGGGGAAAATGGTGGTATTAGTGTAGAAACAGTGGTGTTACCCACTTTCCTGTAGCCCTTGACCCTTTGTACCCTAATCAACTAAATAAGATTAAAAAAAAAAAAGGCAAGTGCTCTCCCATAACTGTAAATACACCGGGGTGGAGCTCCGCCCCCAGCTCCCATGTCAGTGCCCGCTGTGCCCCTCCAGCTGAGGGTTCCCATTGATGGGCAGACCTCGGAGCCTTCGAAATCACTAGGGAGGGCCCGGCGCGGTGGCGCAAGTGGTTAAAGGTCCTCGCCTTGCACGCCCGGGATCCCATATGGGCGCCGGTTCTAATCCCAGCAGCCCCGCTTCCCTTCCAGCTCCCTGCCTGTGGCCTGGGAAAGCAGTTGAGGACGGCCCAAAGCTTTGGGAACCTGCACCCGCGTGGGAGACCCGGAAGAGGCTCCTGGCTTCGGATCGGCATAGTATCGACCCGTTGCGCTCACTTGGGGAGTGAATCATCGGATGGAAGATCTTCCTCTCTGTCTCTCCTCTCTGTATATCCGCCTTTCCAATGAAAAAATAATTAAAAAAAAAAAAAAAAAGAAATCACTAGGGAGATCAATCGGGGGTCTGGTAGGTGGTTTCACCGTAGCGCTAGGGGAGTGCTGGGCTGCTGGCTTTCTGCCCGCCAATCTGGGCGTCGGCTTCCCGACTTATACCGCCCCCAGCCACTTCCTTCACGGGTGACTCACAGTGCGCTGTGCTCGCTGACACAAAAGGCCATTTCCGTTTATATAAACACCAACTTGCAGCAGTTCCTTCCGCAGAAATACCCTCCTTGCCAGCCCCGTGCTTGGAAGAGCAGTTACCAAATAGGCTTGGGTAAAACCGGACAGGCCAGGAGCGGGGCCTTAGCACTCTGGTGTCTGCTCCTGTGGCTGTGGGATGCATTGGAGGCAGCAGGTAAGGTGGAGAGCACGGGGGACACGGTGGGATGCTGAGGCCTGCCTGCAGGTACAAGTGGTTTGCGGTGGCGCAGCGGTCTCCAGGTGGACTCAGAAATTTGAGACTCGTGGGTAGAACAGCAGGTGGATGTCCTGAAGACCTCCTGTGTTCAGGGCAGCATTCCCACAAACCGTGTGTACAAGACTGTAAGAATTTGGGTGTTAGGGCCGGGCCATAACCGAACGTGGACATAACAACTTTCTGATTGTGCTAGATCAGAGATGATCGCGGTATTGTGGATGAGGACGTGTGTGGGCACCAGGGGTCATGAATAGTGACCCTTCGGCGCTCAGGATGAAGCAGAGGAGATGAATGAATTGTAGAGACATTGTCAGAAAAGTCACTGGAGCCATTTAGAAAACTTTGCCGCATTATTTTGGAGGCCACAGTGCCACGGTGCCAATCCGAGGTTGTAATGAAGTGCCCATTAGGGCCTGGGTGCTTCAGTCCTGTTCCTGGACTAAACAGGGAGTTGAAGCTGATGATGGGTGTGTGCCAAGCCATGGGCCCTGACAGAGGAAAATGAAACTGTTCCTGTTGACTGTGAAGAAAACCACAAGAAAGAGGAAGAGGAATCAAAACTTTCAGTGAAAAAATCAGTAAGAGACACCCCAGACCAAAGAGCACACAGTCAGAGCACACCACCAGAGACAAAACCCTAAGGAACCCTTCAAAAATCAGAAAAACTTTACAGAGGAACCCGAAGGACCCCCATCTGTAGCAGGTATTTAAGCCTACAGGCCAGAAAGTGGAGGCCAATTCCTCAGTTAAGGGGAGAATCGACCCTGGGGTGGAGGGAAGCTCTATAAGAAAACAGTGTAGGGACAGTGTGGTGCTGTGGCAGGCTTGGGCCTGATTCATGTCCCGCCTGGGTAAGGCCTGGGAAAGCAGCAGAGGATGGCCCATAGCCTTGGGCCCCTGCACCCACATGGGAGACCCTGAAAGCTGCTGGCTGCTGGCTTCTTCTTGACTCAAGTCTGGCCCTGGGGGCTGGTTGCGGACTGAACCAGCAGACGGAAGACCTCTCTTTGTCTCTGTCCTTCTCTGTGTGGAATTCTAGCTTTCAAATAAAAATAAAATGAATCCTGTAAGAAAACAGCAGAAAGAATTTGTTAAAATTGTGCATCTGACTTTATTTCTGTAACTGTTGATATCTGGCTGTCTTCTTTGGAATAGGGAGTGAGTTCGTTCCCTTCCATGTTTGATAAATGTTGTCCAGATCTGTGCCAAGGATATATTATTCAAAATGTCTCTTTAGTCGTTAAAGATGAAACTCTGGCTTTTGGCTTGTTTGTTTCTAAGATTTCTGATTTGAAAAGCAGAGCGATAGAGAGAAGGAGAAACAGAAGTATCTCCTATCCACTGGTTCATTCCACAACAAGCCACGATGGCCAGAGCTGGGCTAGTGTGAAGCCAGGAACCTGTGGATTCCTAGGAGTTCCACATGGGTGCCAGGCCCAAATACAGGGGCCATCTTCTTCTGCTGCTTTCACAGGCACATCCACAGGGAGCTGAATCAGGCTTGGTGCAGCCAGGACATGAACAGGCATCTATATGGGATGCCCATGGTGCTTTTAGCCACCACAGGATAGCATTGGCACCTCTGCTTATTTTTCAAAAAGGTCTTCTGAAGCTTCGTATGCCACTGCCATACATCTCATGTTTAGAACAGTCTCTTGAGAACATCAAGAGGCCACATTGGGCGGCTGTCTTAGACCAGGTAAGTCTGTGCAAGTGTGCTCCATGTTGTTGCTCAGGTGATTAATTTGTCAAATAATCATTTGTCAGAACGTAGCCCCCAAGTTCATGGATGCATGATTGCATGCAGAAATTGATAACAAATGAAAAGGAAAGTTACTATAAAAATTGCTGTTAATTTCTACTGCCTCTTCCTGAAAAGACCTTGCATACTTGTTCAACAAATCTATGTAAATGGGTTTGTTGCTCATGTTTTAACCTTAGCCTGCCCTGTGTTAGGCTGAGATGGGCAAGACTGGATGTGTACATTTTTAATAGTCTCCAAAAAATGATGAGATTCATCCCTTAGCAAGATGTAGAGCAAACAGGCTTGCTTAGTGCTTTGGTTACACCTCAGAGCCCCCTGACATAGCTAAAATGAATGGCCTTCATGGTTGTAGCAGCAAAATTTTATCTTGATGTCACATGTGAGTTGAATATAAACTATCATGTGTATCTCACGAGATTGGACTGCTATTTTATGACAGTGTTGCTGCCTAGTTTGCCCATATACTATTCGAGAGAGAATTAATGCGATTTAAATGTATAAGCTGTCTAAATAAGTTACAATGAAAGTGTGGTTATCTGTGTTTTCCTTTTTCTATAAGAGTAAATAAATCTCAGCTACCTTCTTTAGAGAAATTGCTGGGCTGCTTCCAGAACCCAAGGAAATCAGAAAGCCAAGCAGACCACCTTGCAAGAGAAGGACAAAGCTGCAGAGGCTTTCCTGTGTGTTAGGGAGGGGCTGAAGGTGTCAGAGCAGGAATGGCCAGAAGGCAGAGAGAACAAGTGGGCCCTCCTGTGATGCACAGCACTTGCTTAGCCCAGCTGAGAAGTTGTGCTGAGCTAGAAAGCAAGAGTGGTAAGGAAAGAGACAGAGAGCATTGCATTGAGTTCTTTATTGAGAGACCTACAAGGTTGTCAGGTGTAGATAATCTTTTCATTAACCTTTGCTGGCGAGCATGCTTACTGCTCAAAAAGCAATAAAAGCCAAAATGTGTTGATTCCTCAGAGGAGAAGCAGGCTGTGTTGCAAGGCCGCAGAGAGACCAGGTGGCTGGAGTTGTCTGTGCCCACTCTTGGGAGTATGTTTAAGACAGATATCACATCTTCACCCTTCACACATACAGAGAGAGAGAGAGAACTTGAACTTCTCATTCCTGTAAGAGTTGCAACTTAATGGGAGGATAAGAGGTCCAGGAATCAGTATGAGCTCATTCCACACACCAAAAAAATCTTTCTACAAATCCTTTATTCAAATTTCATATGGGGCTATTTCCTGCTGAAGAAGCCCCACCTGGCTGATGCTTTCACTTGTCATCCTCTGCTCTTCCTCATACACTGTTTGGTTAGAACTCACCCTCCTGGGGTGTTCATCAGCCTTATGCTTCATTGCGTGCAGCCAAGATCCCGCTGTATGGGCCTGGAATTGAAGCCCTCTGCTTTTGAGTTATTACAGGGCAATGGACAATGGACCTGTGTCCTGAATCATTCCCTGTCCACTTCATGAAGTTGTGCGTTTGTAGTTATGTGGTTCTGCATGGAGTTGCAGGCGTGTTTGTGTCAAGGGTCTCTGTGTAACTGAGTTCTCCTGTTTCCACAGGATTTCGGGTGGAGATGGCAGGGAGGACTCAGACCGTGTTTCTCAACGACAACATCACCATCACCTGCAAGATCCCTGGTTCTCCCGCTCTGGACATCAGCACTGTGGGTGTTGTCTGGTTTGTGAGGAAAAAGGAACAGAGGAGAAAGTTCCTGTGTTTGAGTATTATGGAGATCACGAGAAGGCATACCGAACTGGAGCCAACATCTCTCCGGAGAAGCTGATGAGGGGAGAGGCCTCACTGCACCTGCCAGCCATTCAGCTCAGTGATGCTGGAGAGTACTTCTGTAAGGTGGTGGTCACCCCTGAGATGGATGAGAAAAGTGTGCAGCTGGAAGTTGTGGGTGAGTGCCTGAGGGCAATGCCCGGGATCCCGTGGGGCTGCAGGTGCAGAGTGGGATGGATGTTAGAGGCTGGTCTGGGGACCCACCGTGGGCTAGAGAGCTGGGCTTTGGTGGGTGGTGAGATGACTCTGGGCAAGGTGTGAAGCCTCTGAATCTCGGTGCCCTTGCTAGAAACAAATGTGATGGCATCTGCCCAGGAGGAGTGGGGAGAGATGGCATGTTGGGAAGATGCAGGTGAAATGTTGGATGTGCTCCTGTCCATGACACATAGTGAGTGGAAGACAGCAATAGTGGTTATTGCATTATTCCCACTGGGTGTGGGTTGTCATTTTATCTGAGCAGGTTCCTTGGGGAGGCAGCTGGGAAAGAGGGTTGCTAGACTGTGGTCCCCTTCAATTTTTGTGCTTCTAAGTGAGTGAGATAAACATTTAGCATCCTTGCACCTGGATTTCCCATTTCCAAAAAGGGATTCTTAGGAAGATGTTATGCAAGATGTGCAGTGGAGTGAGGTATGATGAAGCCTGACAGGACAGACACATCCCCAAATTCCATCTTGAGCTCCAGTGTGGTGTGTTACCCAGCAGTCTGGTGAATAGATGCTGGTGAGATGGGGAGAAAAGGAAACTCTTGCAGACAGTGACATGAAAAGTGTTTGAGCCCTTGTGGGGAACAGTAGGAAACATCTTTAGATCAACTGAAATAGGAGGTCAGGGTTGGGCCTAGCAGTTAAGATGGCTGCATGTGGGGTCCGTGTTGTGTCATGGTGTGTTGTGCCCCTGGCATCCCTTAAGGTTGCTGGTTTAGTGCAGCTGCACCTCTCCCAAAGTAGTTCCCTGCTCTTGTTCCTGGGAAAGCAGCCCAGTAGGCCTGAGTGCTAGGGCTCCTGCCATTCATGTGAGAGACCCAGGATGGAGGTCCTGGCTTGCATCTTCAGCCTGGCTTAGTCCTGGTTTGTGTGTTTATCTGGGGACTTAGCAATGTATGGGAGCATGATTCTCTCTCTGCTTTGCTTTGACTTTCATAAGCATACATAAGTAAATCTTTAGAAATGTGCATTGTAATACTTCTATAAGCATTAAAATGGAGAGACTCAGAAGTGATGGTAACTAAAATGAAGCAGCCACTGAGACTTGCTGCTTGTTCAGTTCCCTGATGCTCCCTGGCTGCACTTAGTGGTAGGTAGCTGGGGCAGCATAAGGGAGTACTAGGACTGGATTTTTGAATAGCACAAGTGGTTTTCTCACACTTAGAAAACTGTATTTCAGGAAAGGTGTCAATGGTGTTGCTTTCTTTTGAGTTCTCTTGCCTTTGGCCTTTTTCTCTCTGTCTTCCTGAGTGGGTCCTTTGAGGCCCTGATGTGAAGTGCGTTCCAAGGCTGTTACTTGAATGGTCTTAATGGTTCTGAGAGGTTGTGGGGCTTTGCTACACCAGAGGTGCCAAATCCTTCCTGGGACTATTGGCTGTCCCTGTCTACCTCACAGTGCTCACAGGCCTAACTGCCTATTGTAGAACCTGGCCTGTTTGGTGCTCAAGCTGTACCCTTTCCTTTTTGTGAGTCCTCAGAGTCTTGTGTTGACTTCACACAGATGGTTTCCCTTTTTTTGTGCGTCATCTGTGTGTTGTCCAATGCTGCATGAGGGTCAGTCCTGAGGTCCCTCATTCCTGCCAGAGTATCTCTTCATTTAGTTAGCTGTTAGTGTTTTTTGTTTGACAATTTGCAGTGTTCCTCAAATAGATCCTGTGTGTGTGTGTCTCTCTCTCTGTGTATATATATATATATGAATATTGTATGTGTCCCTCTCTATATATTTATATATATACACATTTTCATAATTAATTTGTGAGGCAGAGAGAAAAATGAGAGAAAAATATCCTACTTTCTTGTTTATTCTGAAATGTATGCAGCAGGCAGTAGACCAAATTGAGAGCTGACTCAGTCCTCATCCCCTTTTGAATTTAAAGGATCCCAACTACTTGAGCCATCACCACTGCCTTCTAGGGCAGCAAAAGCAGGTAACTGGAGTCAGGGCTTGGTGCAGTGACTGAGCCTGAGTACCCTGATATGGGGCACAGGCATCCTAACTTGCATTTGAGCAACTAGGCTAAATGCCCACTTCGGACATGTGTAAAAGTAAAGTACGTCATTATTTTAATCTCAAAGTTCAGTTGATCAATGCTGTTCTGTAGACAAGTAATTGATTTTGTACATGGGCTTCATATCATTGAGGTTGCTGCTATCCTTACTAGTTCGCAAAGCCTTTTTTCTTGTTTTTTGGTTGAATCTTTGAATTTATATATATGTAAATCACATTATCTGTGAATTAATATAGCTTCATTACACTTTCCAAGTCTTTGATATCCCTGTACTATTTTGCTGGTCTGGACTTCATTGCAATGGACTAGGAATTAGAGGGAGCATCCTGCCTGCTCCTGAAATTTTTTACTTTCTTCCTCAGGATGTTGGCCATAGATTTTAGGTAAAAGTTCTTTTTCAGCTTGAGGAATTTCTCTGATGCCGCACATTGTTCTTTGTTTTGTTTTGTTTTTGTCATATGGATGGATATTGCTCTTGCCAAACAGTGATTCTGCCATCTCTAAGTGGAGCTGCCATCTGATCATGGTACATGGGCTTTGTATTCCCAGCCATCACAGGCGAGTCCAGCCATTCTGGAAGGGCAGGGCACACTTGTCATCCTCAGGACACACTTTGATGGATGTGTGCTTCCAGGGAGTTGCTTTCACCACATTTCAGTGAATCTGGAATGACCAGACCCTCAGTTCACATGGCCAGACCAACCTTCCATGCATTCAGATGATATAGGCTTCATCTGGATGTGTTGTTTCTAACTGAAACTATGTAACAGAAATTAGGAATCAATGAGCATTGTGTCCCACAACAGTGCTCTAAGACTTTCTGCAGATTCTCCCAGATGTGTAGGAAGCAAGATGTGTGAGGAGACTCAGCTGCACTCATACTGTGAGCATTGGGCTCTAGCATGGTGGCATGCTGCTGGCACTGGCCTTGACATTTAGTCAAAGCAGAGTCTGATTCAGTTCACTTGTTCTTCCTGATGTGTTTCTCTGTGTCAGATATCAGGTGGGTAATAAGCTTGTCCTTGCCTCTTTTTTTTTTCAGGCAGAGGAGAGGAGCAGTTCTGCCTTATGGTTAAACATGACCAGTGGCTGGTCTCCTTCCTTCCTTTCTTTCTTTCTTTCTTTCTTTCTTTCTTTCTTTCTTTCTTTCTTTCTTTCTTTCTTTCTTTCTTTCTTTCTTTCTTTCTTTCTTTCTTTCTTTCATTTTATTATTATCATTTTATGAAGCAATTCCATATTCCCTTAGCCCCTCTCCAATTCCTTCCCCTCCCCCACCTAGTTTCTCTATATCATTACTAACATATAGTTCTTCATACTCAATCATATGTCCATCATTGTGGGCATGGACAATGGCAGAGAGTCCAGCATCCTATTGTCAAGATATAGTAAACAGTTTCATTGTAAGTCCATCTTTGTCTGGAAACAGAAATGCATACCACACTGCATTCTCACATCTGGATGTTGGTCTCCATTTCACAGCTACTGTACATCACGTTAAATGAAAAGTCATGATACAAAGTCAAAAATAGAAAGAAAAATAGAAATTTACAATGCCATGAAGTTAAATGACATGTTACTAGATATGACAGTCTCCATTACACAGCCACTATACATCCCCTTAAATGAAGAGCCACAAAATCAACATCAGGGAGAAAAAAGAAATTAACAACACCAAGAAGTTAAACAACATGCTATTAAATGTCTAATGTGTAGCTAAAGAAATGAAAATCAAGAACCTTCTTGAGGAAAATGATGCCACTGCATGATCTATGAGTCATTGAATGATTTAATCAGAAGGAAGTGTTTTGAAGAGATGATACCAACAGAAAACAACAAAATCCATGTGATATAGTTTCCGCTGATCTTTGGGTTTTGTTTTTTAATCCAGTCTGCTAATCTATGACGTTTGATTGAGCTTAAGCCATTTACATTCAGAGTTTATTATGTTTGGGTGGAACTTTGGTCCTGTCATTTTAGGAATGGGTTGTTCTTCTGTTAGTCTTCTGTTGTCATTTTACTGAGATGTTCTTCTCATTTGCCTTTGGTTTTGTTGGGTGCTATTCCTCTTCTTTGTCAAGAGAACATCTTGAAGTATCATTTGTAGGGCAGGTTTGGAAGAGGCAAATTCTTTTAACTTTTCTTTATTGTGGAAGAATTTTATTTTATTTTCAAAGGTGAAACAAAGCTTTGCTGGGTATATTATCCTAGGCCGACAATTTTTTTGTTTTAAACTCTGGAATATGTTACTCCATTCTCTTCTTGCCTGTAGAGTTTCCTGTGAGAGATCTCCTGTGAATTTAATTGGCATTCTTTTATATGTCAATTGATTTTTTTTCATGTGCACATTTAAGGATCTTTTCCTTATGTTCAATTGAAGAGAGCTTGATCATCATGTGTCGTGGTGAAGATCGCTTTTGACCAAGCCTGTTGGGAGTTCTGTGCCCCTCCTGGATGTTGTTTCCCAATTCTTTCTCTAGATTTAACAAAATTTTCCCTTATTATTTCATTAAATACATTTGCAAACTCAGCTTCTCTTTCTGCACCTTCTGGGACTCCCATAACTCTTACATTTGGCCTCTTAATAGTGTCTTTCAGTTCTTGAATACTTTTTTTGGCCTGATCCAGCTCTGCTTCCAGCTTTTTGTTTGCTTCCCCCTGGTGACAGGAAATATCTTCCAATTCTGAGATTCTTTCTTCTGCTTGCTTCATTCTATTTTGGAGACTCTTCATTGTACTTTTAATTTGCTCTACTGTGTTCTTAATTTCTGATATATCAGCCTTGATTTGCTTTATTGCTTCCTTAAATTCTTTGAACTCTTGTATGTGCTTCTCATTGTTGATAAGAAGCTTTAAAATGAGTTTTATGAATTCTGTGTCCCCCATTTTCTCGATGTCTTCCTCAGTTAACTCTGAGGTTGGCAAAGGGTTTTGCTCCTTTGCAGGGAGTTTTCAGTAATATTCATTGTGCCTTTGTCTCTTCTTTTGCTCTTGATCATTGTACTTCTGGTTAGCAGAGTCTTCTCCTTGGGGCAGGTTTCTAAGCTCTGTCACCCACAGGTCTACAATACGATTTTACTTATTGCAGTTGGTACACAAC